GTTCAGGGGTCAGTAGTGATGCAGGGTTCAGGGGTCAGTAGTGATGCAGGGTTCAGGAGTCAGTAGTGATGCAGGGTTCAGGAGTCAGTAGTGATGCAGGGTTCAGGAGTCAGTAGTGATGCAGGGTTCAGGAGTCAGTAGTGATGCAGGGTTCAGGAGTCAGTAGTGATGCAGGGTTCAGGAGTCAGTAGTGATGCAGGGTTCAGGAGTCAGTAGTAAGTGATGCAGAGATTACGAGACAGTAGTGATGCAGGGTTCAGGGGTCAGTAGTAATGCAGGGGTCAATAGTAATGCAGAGGTCAGGGGTCAGTAGTAAGTGATGCAGAGTTCAAAAGTCAGTTGTGATGCAGGTTTCAGAAGATCCAGAGTTTTGTTGTTTTTTTTGTGTTTTTTTTTTTTTTTAGAAAAGGGAATGTCTACTTTAAAAAGTAATTTTACTGCTTATTCAGAATAACTAAAATACTTTAGTGTGCATGAACTGAGCACAGCTTCACGTTAATGTTTTTTTCATACTTGTGATCCTGTTGCTGGTGACAGGTTTGCTAGAGAGAGCAAAGAAACTAATCACCTGACATCGCTACCATGATGACAGGAACTCGTCTTCATCAATCCTGCTGGCGAGAGAGTCATGCTGTAGGAGTAGGCGAGTAGTTTCCCTGTCCATTCTAGTTGCTGGTTAGTTGACACCAGCAACAGGACTGTAACAATATGTACGTCAAATTTGGAATACTAGAAGTTAAGTATTCATGACAGTGTGAACTGTTACTACAATCCTGGTAGTCCCTGCGTCAGTTCAATACATACATCAGTAGCCTTAAAAAAAACCAAAAAACACAGGATTCACCATTCCAGACACAGGATTCACCATTCCAGACACTGGATTCCTTTACTGGGAAAGAGAATGAGGAGAAGGACAAGCTCTGATACCAGGAACTCCAGTTCCCAGAAACCTCTATGGCATTTGTCACTTGTGAAGTATTGGGTTTATTGTAGAAGCTCCTATCCTCAGTCCTCAGTACTACCCCAGCCTGCACATCTACAGAGCTCTGTGCTTACACCTCAGAACAGCGCCTCTATCTCTGCTGCAAATCTCGGGCTGTCATTGCAAATCTGCACATTTCCTGTGCTTGCACTGAGCTGTAATGTGAATGCCGGGGATGAATGAACCAGGTCCCACAGGAGAGAGATCGGGGAATTGACACTGGAATCAAAAGGACCAAGCGAGCGTTTAAAACATAAAAAAGCTGCTAAAAACCAAAAGGTACCATATAAAACCTTCAAAATGAATCATAAAAGCAGGGTGTAGCGCTAAAATGTCAATATAAATGACTAAACTGCAAACATTAAATAAAGTGACTTCGTGGTATGAGAACGTGTCAGTTTCATAGATATTCATACAGTACATGCATCATGTAAAGGCATCATAGATGAGCATAAAATCCAGTGACAAAGTGCTTATATCTCAGTAAAGTGAAAATGCAAACTGAAGACTGTCACTAAATAGTGGCCAATAAAGTGTAAAGTGGGGTCATGCATTGTCCCAATTTGCAGTAGTGCTATGGACTATTATTACTGACCTCCATACCAAATGCCGAGTTCCATCTGACAGCCACAAAGGCTTCTTCCATAACAACGTGGATGTGCAAAGTACAGTAACCAAGAGAAACCAGGTTTCAGGTTATTGATGTCAGATCAGCCAAATTTGTATTTTGATTGGCTATTATAAGTTCCCACCCCTACTTACTAGACCCCTTGATGTCCGGCGTATGCGTTCCACACCTCTCCTGGAAGTACGGCAGCCATCTTGCCCGGACGTTCCACCACATTCACTACCGCTGGTCGGCTCAGTGTGTCTCCCTGGCATTATACCTGATAAGCTTTTACCGGACTGCTATCTTGGCTCCTTGTGAGCAACTAATACCCACAGAGCGGCTGTACCAAGTGTGGCAGTGGATACCAGACAGTGAGTGGCACCTGACCAGACCAGACCATAAGGGAACCTCCAGTTTTCTTGAATTGCTATTTCTAAATGCGCATTCTGATTGCGTATCTGGTGAGTGCGCAATCTTATCATCTACCTAATCACCATATTAATACCGGATCAGATCACTGGATTATAGAGATCGGCACGATCTCTTATGCACTTTAATTGTGGACTATTGTGTGATTAATACGTCTGGCACTTTGCACTTTATTGGCCACTATTTAGTGACAGTCTTCACTTTGCATTTTCACTTTACCCAGATATAAGCACTTTGTCACTGGATTTTATGCTCATCTATAATGCATGTACTGTATGGGGAATTGACACTGCCATATCTACATAGGAAGAGCTTAGAGAACAGGTGTCAAACTGCGGCCCTCCAGCTGTTGCGGAACTACAAGTTCCATGACGCACTGCAAGACTGACAGTTACAACAGAGGCATGATGGGAGTTGTAGTTCCATAAAAGATGGAGGGCCGTCGGTTAGACACCCCTGGCTTAGAGGAAAGAAACTTTCATTTGGCTTTGTTCCTGCCCTGCCAGCAAGGGGAGGGGCAAACTGGCACTGTGCTCCATCACCGCTCTATGATACTATACTGAAGAGGTAAAGGGGCAGGTCCCTGACTGGTGGTTGGCTAAAAAAAAGGGGGAAGGCTGAATAGACTGACAGGAGGCTTGGCTAATAAGGACAGGTTTTTTTTTTTTTTTTTTTTATTGTAGCCAGTTAACGCCAGGCAATTAAAGATGATCTTCAGTGGCCCCCCAAAAAAGTCAGCAGCTATAAATACTGTAGCTTCCCACTGCGCATGTGCGAGCCGCGCTGTGCTTTGTGAATGGTACCGCAGCTTTCTGGGACCTGTGACGTGTCACAGAAAGCTGCAGGGAAAGAGGGGGGCTGAACTTCTGCTCAGATCGCCTAGGAGTTCTAAGGGGAGATGGGAGCGGGTACCTATCAAAATAATTTGTGTCCCAAGGTGTTCGAGGAGGGGAGACGGAGGCAGAAAAGCAGAACTCAGGAGAAGTTCCGCTTTAATAACTACAGAGCTATTAGTAGAACATATCCCGTGTGCATGGGACTGTTGGGGACTCAGTGGATTCAACCTACACACAAGTATTGGATGGATCCAACAGTGTTTCCCCCCACACTTCTTGCTTTGCAATGTGTGAGGCCACAGGGGGCTCACCCCCTCTTGTGACACCAGTGCGTGGTAAACATTGCACCCATGGATGCTATGCCACTGGCTGAACTCCAGCCTTACCCAATTTCCCTTCACACGGAGCACAGTGTGCATTAGAAGTCAAAGAGAGCCGCCTCATTTCCTGGTTGTAGGATTTCCGGCATCATCTAGTTCAGGGGTGGGCAACTGTGGCCCTCCAGCTGTGCCCATGAGGCATTGCAAAACTGACAGTTACAAGCATGACTCCCAAAGGCAGAGGCATGATGGGACTTGTAGTTCACCAACAGCTGGAGGGCTACAGTTGCCCACCCCTGATTTAGTTCTTTCCTCCCAAGCTCAACAATCCATGGCTTGCCTCTTTCATTCATTGGAATTTGGTTCATTTAATCATGGAAGCTCAACATCACATGTGGGTGTCACCCAAGGCAACCTGCATGCAAAAGCAGTTTGCCTAGGAACATCCACTCCTTCAGATTGACACCCACCCATCAAAGCATAATGCCATTTGCAGAACTCCTCCAGAGAGCCAGCCCACTGTTTGCATCAGGGGTGAGGGCGCTTGAGAGTAGTAATGAAGCAGGATGTCCTCAGGAAGCCATGTACAGCAGCCTGCCATCCTTTCCACCAGCCTTGCCGGCATTATAGAGAAAAGCATAGAGACCCAGTGATGACAGCCCTTGGTCTAAAATTAAGGTATTTAACAAAAACGGAAATGTTTTATTTAAAAATGTAATTTATTTAAAGCTGATAAAAGGTAGAAAGGAGGAACCAGGAAAGGTGAAATATTATAATAACCCCACTATAATGTACAGCGCTGAGCAAACCTTTTAGCGCTATATAAATACTGTATAATAATTATTATTCTTTAAATAGTGAACTTGTTGTGACATTTTAGATCACCAGTTTAGAACAGAGAATGCAATTTTAAACTTTCATAGAATGCCAACATCTTGAAAATGATCACCATGAGGGCAATGAGATATTGACTCGGGGTATAATTTTTTTATTTTTATTTTTAAGAAACTGCTCAGATGTTTTGTATGTTCTTCCACTGTTTTTGCAAAAAATTGTGTTAATCTGACAAATTAAAATGTAAGCACGTGGGATCAGATGAAAGTTCATTATGGGCTTCCAAAGAAACCTCTAAGAGGAACCCCATGAACCATTTTTTTTTTTTTTTTTTAAAGGAAACAGAAATTGAGTCAACCTAACCCACCAAGGCCTACTCAAACCCAATATATTTTCTTGGATGGTTTTGGCCTTTGTATGATTCCATTACAATTCATGTCAAAGTTAATAGTGATGTAACATCTGGATGTAATTTTTGAACAGAATTTGTTCTGGGTTATTAAACAGGCAGGTTGCATATTAAATGAGGTTGTTGCTCACAACCACTACCCAACTTAGGTCTTTATCATCTGACATTTTCTGCCAAAGTATCCCTTCCTACAACACTCAACCCAATTTCTAAGGAAACCTCAAATCCAGTCCCTGACCTTTCCAACCAACAACTCAATCTTTCACAGCATGCTTTAATGTAATTATCCATCCCCCCCACTCAGCATATCTCAACCCAAACCATCAGCCCACCCTAGCATATCTAACCCCCACCCAATTCCCCCAACCCTCTGCACCTTTTAACACATACAACAACCCCTTCAACGCTCCTCAATCCAACCCCCAACCCTCTGCACCCATGAAGCATCAGACATGCTCTATTTCCTCCAGCATTTCCCATCCACTGCCATGTTCCTCCCCACCTGCTGTTTCCTCCATTTCCTTCCATATAATTTCCATTCCAGCACATTTTTAATCTCACTCACTCTGTGGCTCCTTACCTTGTCCAGGAAGCATAGCTTCTCCCGTGTCTTGGCATCCAGGATCTCCACCTCAAAATAAACAGTAGCACGTTTAGCAGGAGTTTTTTTCTTTGAAGACTTACTACGTTTACTTGTTACTGGAGTGTCATTTTGTGCCTTGGGACGGCTTATTTCCGAAACTACAGAGTTTATATCCATTATTCACAAGCTGTCTGAAAAAGTTAAACACTGCTCTCTTCAGATGACCCAATACTTATTAACAAGTTCTCACTCCTGCTTTTGCTTTACTATGATCCCCTATCCTTCCTCCGGTTCTCACGATCGTCCTGTATTCAGAGATTACTACCTCAGCAACCTTTTTGCTATCTCAGCAGTCTCATTGCTTTCTCTTTCAACACAGATGTCTCTCCCAGGAAGCTGTCTTTGCAACAGGTGTAGTAATGAAAGACATCCCGCTGTCCCAGCCTTGCTCAATACGTCAGTCTCTTAGGAAAACGGTTCCATCCACGTCCCTCTCTCACTTGCAGTCTCTTCTCGGTCAACTGCTCTTTGACTATCCAGAGCACTCAATCCTCAGTTAATTTTTCGTCTCTTCTCTCCCTCCAAATGTCTCTAATCCTCTCCCGCTGGAAGTCTTGCTCTCTCCTGGCTCTCCAGATGTAATATGAAGCAGATCTCTATATTTATCACTCCCTAGGCTATTTCACATCTGTCAGTTTCTACACTTCCCAGAGGCATCCAGCCGGCAAGACCCCACACAGTGACACCAACAGAAGCTACCTGCACTGCAAGATCACCAAACAACCCAGAAGTGCAGACGGGGTCCCTTATCTTCGTCTCTAATCTTAGGATGTGTCATTATCTACACTTTACCTATCTTCTACCACTTCTCTGCTGTGTCCTCTGGCTACTCAATACCCTGCACCCATGGCCCCCCCTCCTTGCAAAGATGTCTCTCTACACCTCTACGGTTGACTCTTGGTATTCATTGATCTCAGCAAATATCTGGGCTCAGACCCAGGACACTAAATTTAGGCTGTTCCCCCACACGCAACAGATGAGACCCCGGAGAAACCGAGAGGGAGGGAGAGAGAAGACACGCACATGGACAACCCAAAATAAGACACTTAAGAAAAAGAAAAGACAATGAAGACTTACCACACCGGAGATGGTAAGTATATTGAGGCACAGCACAAGAGTTATATGCCCTTTCCTACCAGATACTCCATTGTCCATTCACAGCTACAGACCTGCTGGTATCCGATCCATCTACCCATCCACCATGCATTACTTGGCAAGGGCTAACCAGACTAAACTGAATACCATGGCAAATCCCACAGTGGATTAGCACCCCACAGAGCATGGTGGCTGTACCTCACTACGAGATACTGCCCCCCTGACAGCTGAAGGAGGTCAGACTCCAGTGTATGATAACACTGAATAGTGAGGGCTCTTTTTCATGTTCTTGTGCCAAGCTAGGGTGCTTGAGGAAAGGAGAACACACCTTCTACCGCTCCCACACTTTCCTAGTGTGAATCATGCCAATGGACCCATGGACACCTGTCCTTCACAGGAAAACCAAGAAACCAAAAGGAGATAGCAGGTGAGTCACACCCCCCCTCAGTTGATTGAGATTGTGTACCCCCCCCCTCCCCTTGCTACATCACTGGCTAAACCCACCCTCTAACCTGAACATCACCAGTCATGTTAAAAGGAGAGAGACAGCAAGGAGAGGCTAACAACAGTATTGAGAACCAGAGAGATCCCCATGCTGAACCCTCACAGATTGGTGGTCTCTTGAGTGTGTTCATGGGGCATAGTGGCAAAAATCCAAGGGCGTAAACCTTAATGAGCCTACAGAGGTACCCAGTAACGACCAAGGAGGCACAATGTGCCATTATACAGCGCAACCACTAGTCATTCAAAATGTCATCTTGGCCATTAAGTTCTACAAGTTGTCAGAATCAGTCTAGTAAAAACTGAACTGAACTTCCTTCCAAAGTGGAAGTCTTGGTGGTTCTGGAGCTCTCAGAATATATCAGAAACCAATAGGTAATGAGTTTCCACCAACATTCGCTCATAATGTCGGTTTTATGCATGTGCATCGAGGTGTGTAGGTAGTGTTAGGAGCATATTTTTGATGTTTTTTTTTTTTATTTAAAGTGTATAGGGCAGTCACTGACCAAGGCTTGTTAATACTTATTGGCAGTCCACCAAAATGCAATGCAATTCATCTATGGACCTCCCAATGCAGAAAAAAAATTACAGACAAGTCATATTTCAAAACTTGCTACAAGAAGTGCAGACACTTTTTATTTTGGAGAAGTTGGACACATGCGATTTAGCGCACTGCAATTCAGCAGTGTAAATGGGCCTCAAGTTTAATCCTGTGGACACAGTAATATTGAAGTGGATGGTGACAAGCACAGCTGGGGAACATCTCAGGGATGGTGTTGATCTTGGGATATTCTTCAAACACAGCAAAGAGGGGCTTAGCCAAGAGTGCCGAAGAGATGCTCTGTACAGAAGGGGGAGTGGCTTGTGCATGGACTCCACCCACAACATGCCTAAGCTTCTTTGGAAATGAAGCTTCTTAATATCCACTCTGAGCACAGAAGATGCAACAGAACTGCTCTGCGTCCATCAGGACAGTAGCTGAGGGGTTGCTTTACACAAGCATAATGTCACAAAGGCGTTTACAGCACTTCCACATACTGAGCTACACACCAAACAGCAGGAGGTAACATCCGACTGCTGACTGAGGACCACAAGCACAGTGAGTACCCGGGACAGTGCCCACTACACTACTATTTTATATCTGGAAGTTCCTTTAAAACAGGACTGTATTTTAGGGCCATTTTACCTAAAACTGATATTAAATTACATGTTTGGTGGCTCTATCAGCCGATGAATGTCTCAGGCACTCCGATGGTGAGATCTCTGCACTTGAATTCTCAAATCTGTACATCTGCCGGAGACATTATGGGAAGTCTCAACTCCCCCTGATGGACCTTTAATGTATTTAGATTCTGGGGAATGCAACAGGAGGAATGGGAACACCTGCCCTGCAAGCAGGACGTGCGGGAATGTAGGGGCAGGACAGGGCTAGGAACTAGAGCAGGGAGATCACACCACCAGATTTCGTCAGAGAAATAAGAAGCGATTGGGTAACTGCCCACCGGACTGCGCTAGAACTGAAAGATCACTTTAGGGTGAAATGACCCTTAAAAAATAAACACTCCAGTCCCATGGTCAACAATCTGAACATAAAGGGGTTGATTTACTAAAACTGGAGAGTGCAAAATCTGGTGCAGCTGTGCATAGCAACCAATCAGCTTCTAGCTTCAACTTGTTCAAATGAGCTTTGGCAAATAAAACCTGGAAACTGATTGGTTTCTATGCAGAGCGGCACCTGGTTTTGCATTCTCCGGTTTTAGTAAATCAACCCCCAAAATCTTTCTATAATTAACTTCAGATTTGCCAAAAATATGTAATATGAGGACCAACGCAATCTAACTAATCAATCTGTATTAAGACAGGCAGGCCCTTGCTCTACACAGTTGTTGGTAGCTCTAGAGGAGATTATACATTCAGATTGTAACATGTATGGTAAGATTAAAGCAGTCCATAGAATATGCAATTTTCTTTCCTTCCACCATGGGTTGCAAGAAAGAAAAAATTGCTTGATTCCCCCCCAGGGGCGGACTGACCATTTGGAAACTCAGGCACTGCCCGAGGGCCCGGGGTCAGTAGGGGGCCCCATGAGATGCCCCTGGTACCTTTTTCATAGGCTTTTTTGCGTTTGGGCAAGGACACAGGGGCCCCATGATCCCCTATTGCCCGGGGGCCCCATGAGTTGTCAGTCCGCCCCTGTTCCCCCTATCAATACAGCCAGTGTTGATGACTAAATCCCTCCCGCAGCATTATTGTGTTCTCCCAGTGGGGAGTCTTCCCTGCTGGCACAATATACGGTAATTATGAGAAAAACATAATCAGACCGGCTGGTTGTACTGAAGTCAATCAATGCCTGTAGATGAATCGAATCTCAGTCAGTCCCTGCTGAACTGACCATGATTCGATCCATCTGTGGCCGGAAATAGGCTACCTTTACAGTTTTCATGCAGTGTATGAAGAAAAATCCTGCTGGCTGCACCATCTAATTCTCACTATTTCCATCACATACGTTTGGATGATGGAAAATAAACCCTCCACAGGGATGAATAAGAACACAAAGCATATCTCACATGCACCACATACAAAATACAGTGTGAATGCAACTTTAAAGCTTACGTAAAGAAAAACTTTTTTTAGTTTTGGATAGAGCAGAGAAGATTTAAAACCCCCATCAGGTTATTGTTTGCTGCCTTTGTCCCTGCAGGGTAAATTCCCTTTACTTCCTGTCCTGGAGACACAACAGGAAAGGAGGTAAATCTCTCTAAAGTGAATTGAATTCCCATCTTTGACTAGGTTCACATGCTTCCAGATATTACATGCTACTGCCACCTCCTGAATGCCTTTTTATTAATCTAAATCAATAGCTCTGCATACTTATTTATAAATACACTATCTAAACTCAAAATCAAAACATTTATATATTGCAGCTTACCAATTCTTAAATGTGGCAACTGCATTAATTTTTGTCCCCCTTATTTTCACCTGGTGCTTTACGTTTTTTTATTTTATTGAATTTTTTTAATTATTATTTTTTTTTTTTTTTTTACACTTTTAAATTTTTATTTAACTTTATTGCTATCACAAGGGATAAACAACATCCCTAGTGATAGTTTGGCCAGTGACAGGTACTCTTTACTGAGAGATCTGAGATCTATTAGACCCCTAATCCATCCAAGGCACAGATCGGTTTGATCAGCTGCCTCCCTGGCCGATACCGTCCTGGTGAATAAAGAATTGACACAGCTTAATTTGTCACCAAGTAGAGAGGGGGAGGGGGGGGGGATGTTCCTCCTCCTCCCCTGTGTACAGCCAAACCAAATGCTTGCAGAAGACCCAGTGGGTCCCTCCGAGCCTTGTAAGAGTGATCAGGCAGCTGTAGAGCCATGTAGCTGAAAGCCGGTCCCAAGCTGAAAAAATTGACACCAGGATCATGGCTGCAGCTATGATCCTGGTATGACCAGCTCTCCTTCAGGCTGCGTATGTATGTATGTATGTATGTATGTATGTATGTATGTATGTATGTA